ATGTAAGTTATTATCTATACGGTTACAAGTTTTAGTGGTGAACGAGAACAGAGGTTGGTTTACTTTGGTACTACAGAGGGTTAGGCCTTTAGGTGTAAACGAATTTGGCCTTGCATAACCCCGGAACGGTTTGTCATAGCGGGTCAAAATTTTGAACAGACGAGCATGTGATAGTTGTGTGCAAAAATTCAACTCTCTACTTTCATAAATGCCTCCCCCACAGCCCCTCAGAAGCTGAGGCACTCATTACAACTTGTTTCAGAAAAAATTTCGCTTCGTTTACAAAAAACTATTTACTAATTGGGTTCGAAGAGCTTACTACACCATAAAGGCCGACAAAAATTCAAGCCATTTGGCGCTTTTCAGTGAGGAGAACTTTCAGAACAGTTTATGGTTGTGGGTGCAATGTCGGGTCGTGGTGTCCTCCCACTTATCAAAGTCCCCCAAAAACTGAAATTATCTGCAAAGTATTATGTGGATAGTCTATGTAAATCACGTTTAGAAAAATATCTTCATAGATTGTACGGTAAAAAAATAAATAAGACCATTTTTCATCATGACGCAGCGTCTTCCCATGTGGAAAATGAACCCAAGATTATGCAAACGTTTATGAAGTTAGATATGGGATAAAAATCATTTCAAATAGTAAAATATCTGTACAATCCCCTGATGTAAGTTAAATCGACTTGTTTGGGTTCGGATACTTGAAAAGAAAAATTTTTCTGTGGAGACCCAATTTTTTAGGAGTCTGGAAAGAATTTAAATGACTGCCTGAGCTTCTGGGGGCTGTGTGGGGAGGCATTTTTGAATGTAGACAGTTGAATTTTTGCACACACCTATTTGAGGATAATATGCTCCTCTGTTCAAAATTTTGACCCGCTACGACAAACCTTTCCGGGGTTATGCAAGACCAAATACGTTTACACTAAGATGCCCAACCCATCTGTAAATTTTCATTTATACAAGGCGTTTAACTCCAGGTGGGTGCCTGGGATTAGAATATTGAAATTAGAAAAATTGAAAGTTGTCAATAAATATTTGCTAATTTATCATATTGCTTTTTAAAAATTGATGTTTCATCTGGCTTCTTCCATGGCACCTACTCAAAGTGAGAAGGTATGGTATAAGATAGTTATCCTAGATATTGACGGGACTAAAGACAGGGTCTGAATTAAGCTGACTCGTAGTTTTGCGTCTTCCAGAATGCATGTAAATATGATGACTTAGTTCATGACCACGCAAGTATAAATAAATATGTTGTGTAATTTATTCAGTAAATGCTTAATTACTCATTATTCCGGAATAATTTAACGAGGCATCGTCTATAGGGTGAAGCTTAGCTCTGTACATGTTCATCTACAAATTAATCAACTCATTATAATACCGTGTATCACAATAATATTTACCAAATCAAGTCAAGTGTCGAGATATATTTCTGAATGGCGTTAACACGTTAAATTTATTGGGTAGTTAGAATACTAAGAGACATTATAGCACAATACCCAACCAACATGCATGTACCTACGTAGTTTCCGTTCATTTCGACAACAGCAGTAGACTCGTGGTTTGCATGATACAGAATTCCTGAACCACCAAAGGTGTCAAAGGCTCCACAAAATTATTCCCAAATTGTACCTTTAAAGGAGTCAACGTCCTGCACACCCTTTTTCTCACGCGAGAAGAACTTCTTATCTTGTAACCCGAGATCCTTTTCGCACTCATCTGGATTGCTTTTCCCGCCACAGAAAACGTAACCATTGTTAGGGAAAGTATACACAGGTAGGGAACCAGGAATATCGCAGCTCTCCAAATATTCCCTTCCGGCGCGTGAATCACCTTAATCACAACAAAGCATAACATTACCTGCACGACGGGCATGAGGTATCCGAACACGGCAAATATCCTGCCCCGTATGACCGAGTTGATGACTTTCCCTAAAACTTGCAATTTTCTATAGTCCGAAATCTTCGCTGCGAAGTTTTGAATCCGTTTTAATTCTGTTAACAGATGACAAAGGCATAACACAAGGGTCACGACGGCATGATAACCCCCACCAATCCCGACTGTTGCGCTATTTAAGAAATCTAGGAGTACGAAGATACATCGTATCGCGAAATTATTTAACTGAAAACTACAATTTTGGCAAAATAAGGCACTAAGGAGGGGTGGTTTGCATGGCTGTAATGCCGCAAGAAGTGTTATTCCTCCGGATACGGTGTAATACGTCAATTCTGCACTATCCAGGCATATATAGGCACATTTCCAAAATTTCCAATGATAGAGTTGCCCACGTAATTCTGACCTACATATTGGTAAATTCACTGTCATTCAATAACCAAATCAAGGATTTGAATATACATAAGGAGAAACGCATACAAAATTCTAATTTTAATACATAATCCATAGCTTACATATGTAGTTTAAGAGGTTTATTTGATCCAAATTTGGCTGAATTTCCAATTTAAGCAAGAAACATATTATCAGCATGGAGATGTAACCGACAGCCTCTGCAGTATCCAGTAAATTGGTAGCTTTAGTGCTTGTGCAGTAAAGTTGTATCCAGATAATTAGGAAGTGGAGTAGGTGTAGCAGGTTGACAATTTTATGATATCGTTTGTTTCGTACCACGATTTTATTTTTATTTTCATCCCAAGTCGAAAAGCAACAAAGGAATAGGTCACTTTTAATATTTTTCATTTTCATATTTTGGTCATAGTCGGTTAAATTGATGGACAAGGCTAAAAGAAATGTCGAATGACGCTATATACTTCTTTACTGACCGGCGACAAACACCCCTGTATTATGCAGAGGTCTTGCAGTTCGACGAGTACAATGAGGTGTAACCAATATTGGCATTTGAAGAAGTTTGTAATGAGTACTTAATAACTACATATTACGTACGTAGAAATGTATTACTTAGAAGGGAAGAGTTGATTCCTAAACACCGATTATACTGAATCCCTGATGAGTACAGAAGTAGGGCAACCCTATGTTCTTGAAGTATTCTTCTTACAAACCCTTTTGTTGTCTTCAGCAAAATGTCACTTGCAAAATAACGCCTTAAAATAAATTATTAAGCAAAAACAATTTGGGGTATCGTGAGATTTGTGTTTATTGCGGGGAGGGGCTCATCCAACGCGTCTACGCCCATTATAAAGCCTAGAAAGTGGGAAAGCGGGGGACCCGCACTTTTAGACCGCGAGCGAAGCGAGCCTAGAACGCGCGAAAGCTGGGGCCCCGCACTGTTAGTAACTAACAATGGAACCTTTTTTCAAGCTACACGAGATAAGCTTAGTGACTGATGCTAAAAAATCAAGCTAAAAATTAGAAATGACGTGGTACTTATCTTTCCGTTGAATGGGCACTTGGAGGTCAAATATTTGAGGGCAAAGTTCACAGTAGCGGCCTGTTTTTTCTCAAGCGGGCGAGCGGAGGAGTGAAAATTTTCTCCTTCGAGGTCACATAATCATATTCAAATTCTCATAATTCAAAGTAGAAAAGCAACAAAGGAATAGGTCACTATATTTGAAGAAACGTTTTACCCTGTACACCAGTGGGAAAATGTTATTGCTCGAAGTACGGTTTTTCGTCATAGCCAATTATTTAGATTACTGAGCAAAGCTATAAGAAAAATTGGATGACGTCAGATAATTACGTACTAACCGGTGACATGCACACCATGATTATGCGGGGCTCTTGCCGGAGGAGTTTAATGAGGTGAAACCAATGTGGGTCTTTAAACTATTTTATCATTTGTACTTACCTAGTAAGTATTACGTAGAAATATAATAGTCACTTAAAAGGGAGGAGTTGACGGCTATGAACCGATTGTATTGAATCCCTGCTGAATACAAAGTAGGGATTCGCAGCGCTAATCCTAAGTTCTGGAATTATTCTTCTTGAAAACCCTTTTGTTTTCGTCAGTAAAATGTCACCTACAAAATTACGCTTTAAAATAAATTATTGAGTAAAAACAATAGACGAGCAGGTGTCGAAGATGATTCTTTTAAACTGGATATGTATATTTCTTTTTATGTAAATAGAAATCGTTGAATATTCCGCTGATTCTATTCGTGGTGTTGTGCCTTGGGCCAAAATTGTTGATTTTAAACCGAAATCTTGGACAAATTCTGCAGACATGTTCTCAACACAAGTTCAGAAAATGTTTTTTGTCCATATTACATACGTTTTTTATATCCCTCGAACTTATTCTTGGTGAAAATAAAAAAAATAGAAATGTACTGCAACAACCACTCAGAGCAACAATAATTTAGTAAACTGGAGGGTATACCCCAAAAATTTTTATACTTATTTTTAGGAGTTTCCCACCTATGTATTTAAAAGTTTCTTCCTAAATTTCAGTTATTTAGTTGTCATATATCACATATTTATCCATAAAGAGGCAAAGAATGTAGATTGTATGTAGTTATTAATTTAATCGCTACCATCATGAGTTGATTCCGGCTTTAGCCAGGAAGCTAACTGTTAAATGTCAATATAACCACAGCCTAGGATTGATTACATAAAAATAAGTTGGAACGGTACATCTTGAATAATTTAGCCAATTAACTCACAGCTGTTGCCGGGAGTAGCCAAATATTGCCATGTAGCTATGTACATGACATGTAATCGGTGGTTTAAAATTAAGCATTTTTCGGGTAGCCGCAACACCCAGTTACCCGACTTCCGCATTAAAAGTTTTTCTAGCTAATACACACTTCAAATTTAAATAAGCAAGAGCATCATAATGGCTTCATAAGTTTGTTTCATAGTCCCGTTTCCATTGCAATTGAGACATTCTGCTTCAGTACTTACGCCAGGTTTAGGAAACTGTGCAAGGATAAATGTACGTATGTAAGTAAATTATGCATTATAGATAAGTATAGTTTATATACTTCCCAGTTTTTTAGGACTTTTGTATAAGTTTTGAATTTTTACGGCAAAGTTTTTACGGCATCCTTAAAATGTATAATACATTTAAATCATTACGATAATTTCTTGCATCAAAAAAATGTTTTGTAACTTTATTTTCAAGAAAGTACGAAAGTTTATAAGATTGCATAGTTGTCAATCGTAAGAAATATGTACGGAAAAATTAAAAAAAAATTTACGGAAAATTATTTTGTTACAATATTCAGCCTTACACTCTAAGAAACCTGGTGATAACTACCACCACGCGGTGGTCATATGTGACTCTTCCGGAATGGTGACAGCTGCAACCACCGCAAGGTGACAACTGCACCACCGCACGGTGATTGATCATCACTGAGCTGGTGATGGGCATCCACCATCCGGTGGTCTTCTGCCACCTGCCGGTAGAGTCACATATGACCACCGCGCTGGTGGTAAAATTTCTTAGAGTGTATGTACAGCCCCTAAGGTTGCGAGGAATACGAGTTTCCTCATCTTGTATGTAAATGCATATAAAGTGTTCCCTGGTTTTAACACTGAAAATTAACTAGAATCACATCTTTGAAAATATGTAAATGATTTGGGTACGTATGTACATATATGTAAATTTATACATATTTAATATCATTCAAGAATTATCCGACAACCTCGGAGTCTTCAAATTTGGGAGTACTTTTGCAATTTTTCTGCAAAATCGGTCATAATCACAATATTTTCCAGCCTCCCAACAATTAACCCATCTCTTTGTGTCGGGATCCTCGTCTTGTGAACAGATCGGTGGGAACGTTATATCCAACGTGGTCAAGGTATCCCAAGTTTGCGCGTCGTGGGGAAAGAGCATTTTATAAATTTCGAAAGAATGACGAAATTTGTCGTCTTGAGTCTCATTACAGGAAATAATTGAGAGTTGGGATAAGGCAGGAAATTGGGTGGAGTAGTTGAGATCAAGGCCTCTCTCCAGGTCGCCAGTCTCGTACACAAATTCGACACATGCGAGAGCCAACTCAGGATTAAATTTCGGGTCGGACTTGTTCCCAATGTGCATGGTTAGGCTAAAAAAGATGTAAAATTTGAATTAGATTTTATAACATAAAATGTAACTTTTCAAAATTTGTAAAAAAATAACTAAATTTAAGTAACCCTTTAAAGAGTATGATTTACTACGAAAAAATGCATTAAAAACTGTAGGACTATGATAAACTGACAAAATTACAAGTGGTTTTAATAAAACTTCAAAAATAAAAAGGCTAAAATTTAAAGTTGCCTCATGGCTAAATTTAAAAAAATGCAAGAAACGTTTCGAATTTAACATTTGTCCAGTATAGGAGAAATCCTGCCAAATCCCAACAAATTTAAAGCCGCCGAGTGAAAACAGTGACCATCCAGACACCACAATTACATATCTTCACCCTTCAGTAGTAAGGACAATTTTTAAATAAATCTTTGGTCTTCCTCCCGGATTAAACTTTTCTTATAAAATTACAATTTTCTTCGTTGAGGGTTAAACATTTCCATTCTTGTGTTGGTTAACAACCTTAAAAACTTTACCAGCAAGACACAAATTTCACTTGAAACTTGTCACCTACTTTCCCAATTTTGGCATCCTCGGCCAAACCAGGGTGCCTGTGGACGAATCTGCAAACTGAATCCAGCCAAATTCCAAATCTTCCAAGGTGGTTGAAAATCTGTGGAAAATTTTGGAAAGTAAACCCGGTCCTGCCGCATCTGCTAAGAAGAAATTCGTAATTTCCAACTTCTTGAGAGGAACGTCCACCTCGGGGAGGAGAGAGTACGAGAGTCGATTACATCTCGTACCCGGCTCAGAGTTGCACTTTATTCGGAAACTTTCCAGTCTCTGGTAAATTTCTGGGAACTGGAGTAATTCCCCATAAACGACGGGGAGTAGAGCCGAGTGAATAGTGAGGTTGGTAAGATTGGGACAAAGGCGGAGAAAATTTTCGCCATTTTCGGTATCGTCCATTTCACAGGATGGATTTTGGACCAGGTCGATGCACAAAGATGTCACGGTGGGGAACACGGGTGGATTTGGTGGCAGAAATACTTTTCCGCTCGGTAAAGTCAGAGAAAGCTGTGGAAAATGAAATGAATGTTAGGTTATTTAATATTTTTAGGCGAAAATTATATGAAAAATTGAAATAAAATTGAAACAGGGTAGAGTTTAAGAGCTGTTTCATAAAAGAGAGAGGTTTTTCTTAACTTCTATAAAACAATTTTTGAATCTGTCTCTAATTGTGGATCATTTTGGGAAAAATAGCTTCGAATTTTAATTTTGCTTATTAAAAATATAGTGTGAGCTTGTATTTTGAATTTTTTGATCTTGCTGGTCATTGGATACCATGACAATATTTTAAATGGTTATTATGTATTTGGTTATTTAAAGGTTATCATGCAGAGTTAAATAAATTTTATCACTACAAAATAAACAAATTACCGTTGTTAACGAGTTCATAAAGTATTTTGCACATCGAGCCAAAAATTTTGCAAATGTTTTCTCCACAATTCCTTCATTGATGATGTTGAGACTTTCGACGTCCATCGTGCCTTCATTTGGGGCTAAAAGTTTGTCCAAATGTTCATAATTCGGAGAGCCACAGCGAATTTCCACGTGCGCCGGGAATTTGTGCAGAACTTTTGGCGAATCGAGATCTGTAGAGAGTCCGAGGAGAAATCTTTCTAGGAGGACGGAAACTCCAACTTCTGCCCACATTTTGGCAACCAAACTGCACGCTTTGATATCTTTGGAGAGTTCGAGATGAGAGAAGATGCGGTGCAAAAACTAGACAAAATAATTGTGATTTAGTAAAATGGACAAATTTCATGACGAAAGGTCTCTTATGTTTTGCTATGGTATTTTTAAGTATGCAAGTTTTGTAAATGGACCAAAGTTCAAAATAAAAATTTGACTCTGGCAGTTTACGAACATTCCTTAATTAATTAAAACCGTGCTTAAAATATGCACCTACATACATATACTTTTTCCCTGTCAAATTTACGTGTTTCTCATGCTTTCCCTCATGAAATGTAATTAAATGCATATGTACCTCTTTATTCCACAATACAGAAATTATTGCAGTTTCACCGGTCCCATAGTGGACTGCATTTTCCATCCGGCCACCCACTCTCCCCAGGTCAGTCGCAATTGCAAATTTACCCATAATTATCTCGCTACTATAATTAACACGCAGGTGCATAAACCACAAACATGAACTGCACCACTTCACCTTAAACACTATAATTAACACGCAGTTATGGATGTATATCACGCAGCCATCTGTTCCATACTGGACGACTTCACCGGCCAATCAAACCAGGCAGATTGGACAAACCCACTTAACACGACCTACCCAATGTACCTATTTACAAAAATAAATCCAGCTTCTGATGTGCAGTGTCACGTACCTTTTATTGGAAAGGTTGTGGGCCAGGTGCTCGCATAATGGAAGGGATGTACATACATATATAGATTCCTGATCCGACCCGTGTTTATATAGATAACTCAACTCACCGGGTGTATGTAATGCGTGTATGGAAAAACCCTGTATTTAGAATAAGTATGTATATTATACGTAAACTCTGTATTAAGAAAACGTATCTACCATAAAAAACATTGTAGGGTGATGGGAAGCTACATATCTCGTTATGCTGCATGCACATGTATATATAAGAAAAGACAGTGTCCGTATTTCGCTGAGGGGTGAGTGAAAGTGAATAGGGGCCATTCATATATTAGGTCATCAAAAATTTACGATTTTAGCTACCACCCACCCAACGAAACAGTAAGGGATAGGGAATTTTAAGATGGTGAAGATAGAAAGACCTAAACCATCCACATACTAAAATGATGACGCAATATATGGACGTTCCCAAAATGCATGGATATTTACTGTCAAATGCATGGTGTTCTTTTCAGAAATGACGCATACTGTAACTGGTTTTGAACATTGAATTTTGCGCATCAAAATGTCCAAAACTGCTTAAAATACTTAAATAGTAAAATGTAAAAAAAATAGATACAACCTGTTCATTATTTTTTATGAGTTGCACATCTTTTGTTCCCATGGTGGATGCGTCCTAAAAAATGATGAACGTCGGAGAAATCATCAGATAGAAACACGCGTATGTATACTTTATTGATCACGATAGATGTATGGATCATTACATTTACCCTTTATCGGCATATTTCCTTTCGTAATTTATCTGTTGACCAAACACAAATTATAATATTCAATTAAAACCTTGGTTATAGAACTTTGTGTACATAATACATTTTAGTTGTTGCCAGTGTCAATAGCCAAGTCCGTTGTTCAGTTAAGCAAAGCATATGTGAAGTAAAGGTAAATTAAGGAGTTGAATTATGCATAGAAAATTCTTGGCGACTCATGAATGCTACAGTCTTAATTTACATATTTAGTGAACGCTTGGTCTATGCACTCGAGAAATTGCGTATCGATGAAATAAATCGAACAGGTAATTATCCATCGCCCATTGACGTGTTTTATACTTATTTGTTACATACATACAGTACTGCCATATTTTATATATACCCAAACTTTGACAGTGTTGTTGTCGACATACATAATCATTATCGGCAGTTCATTAGAAACTCATTCCCGCGTACATAAATACATTTGTGCATGGAGTACCAAAATCTTTTAAAGCTTTCAAAAATCTGACAAAATCAGATAAACGTGTTAAAACGCTACATCCCAATAATTCTTGTAATTTCACCTATAACTGCTATTTACACTATAATTCCGCATAGACATAACCTCCCCACGATTGAGATATTGGCTTAGGATTAGTTCAGTCATGATGCTATTACTACCTATTGCATATCAATAACAATTTTAATTCACTAACAATTGTATAAATGCGCACCTTTATGAAGAATTATAATTGTTGTCTGACAGTCAACCCATTAAGTTTAGTGACGCAGTTGCCTCCAGTTGGTTTTAAATACGTTCAAGGATAGGCAATGAGTAGCAAATCTGTAATTAAAATATTGTTTAATTTTGTACAGAAAATGTGTAAACTAGGTACTTAAGCATGTTGGTTCAGCCTGCGATATTAAGTAAATAAATAAATGTGTTGTGCAATTTAAAGCAAATATTTAATTACTATTTATCCCAAAATACTAACACTTAACATTTTGGATTCCTCAAATCATTTTTGATGCGACTGAAGCCATATTAGGTTGCACATTACGGACAAAAATGTTTCACATCAGGCATTTGTGTCCAATGAGAAGGATATGCGAATCTTAGCTCTGTATAATCTGAATCTCAAGTTCATTACAATACAGTTTATTCGAATAACATTAATCAAATCATTGTATTGAGTATCGAGGCGCAGATGTACAGACCTTAATCTCATAACCTTTTTCCCAGAACATAGACCGAACGAGCAATTGCTATTTTCTGAGGGTCATGCATGCAATCTTGATGAAAACTTGAAAGTATTCTATAAAATCACTCAAGGGGGAGGGGGAGACAACTGGAAGTTGAAAAAAATGTAAAATTTTACTTTGTCACCCTAAAAATACAAAAAAACTCCGAAAAAATGTATTTTTGGGGGTCAAAAAATAATTTCCTGTGGCGAAAAACACTTGACTGTGTTTGCCTTAATTATTTGCACATTTTGGATGTGTAAATCAAAACTTTGAACAAATTGTGAAATTAGTGGTTGACCCTCCACATAAGCTGGGTTGAATAAATTATGTAGCGTGCGGATGAGTAAGAATCCTCTTGCCTCCAGACAAGAGAGTGAAGAAAGCCGCGAGCTCGGCCTCATCCGCACAGTTCATAATTTACTCAATCCAGCTTATGTGGAGGGTCAACTACTAATTTCACAATTTGGTCAAAGTTTTGATTTACACATCCAAAATGTGCAAATAATTAAGGCAAACACAGTCAAGTGTTTTTCGCCACAGGAAATTATTTTTTGACCCCCAAAAATACATTTTTTCGGAGTTTTTTTGTATTTTTAGGGTGACAAAGTAAAATTTTACATTTTTTTCAACTTCCAGTTGTCTCCCCCTCCCCCTTGAGTGATTTTATAGAATACTTTCAAGTTTTCATCAAGATTGCATGCATGACCCTCAGAAAATAGCAATTGCTCGTTCGGTCTATGTTCTGGGAAAAAGGTTATGAGATTAAAGTCTGTATGGTACTAACACACACATAGGCATGGGGTGGTCAGGCTGCTGATCCTAAGAGACATACATACGAGGGGAGTGAGCACATTTTTACCTTCCGATGTGGCGCAGTTTCCCTTCACTTAGACAACAGTAGTAGACTCGTGGTTTGCATGATACAGAATTCCTGAACCACCAATGGTGTCATAGGCTCTACAAAATTATTTCCAAATTGTACCTTTAAAGGGGTCAACGACCTGCACATCCTTTTTCTCAGGGGAGAAGAACTTCTTATCTTGTAACACGAGATCCATTTCCCACTCATCTGGATTGCTTTTCCCGCAACGGAAAACGTGACCATTGTTAGGGAAAGTATACACAAGTAGGGAACCAGGAATATCGCAGCTCTCCAAATATTTCCCTCTGATGCTTGGATCACTTTAATCGCAACAAAGCTTACCATAAGCTGCACGACGGACATGAGGTATCCAAACACGGCAAATATCCTGCCCCGTATGACCGAGTTGATGACTTTCCCCAAAACTTGTAATTTTCGGTAATCCGATGTACCTTCCGTGAAGGCCCGAACTCGTTGTAATTCTGTGAATAAGAAACAAAAGCACAGTACTAAAGTCACGACGGCATGATATCCCCCACCAATCCCGATAGTCCCGGTGTTGTAGGAATCATATAGTACGAAAATAAATCGTACTACGAAATTATTGCCTTGACCTAAATCTAAATCACCATTTTGGCAAAACAAGGCGCTCAGGAGGGGCGGTTTGCAGGGCAGTAATAGGGAAAGAAGTGCTGTTCCTCCGGATACGGTGTAGTACGTCAACTCTGCGCTGTCCAGACATACGTAGGCACATTTCCGGATGAGCGAGTTACCCGGGTATTTTGCAGCTACATATTTGACAAAGAAGTATTTTTTTTTTACTAATTACATATCAGTTAGAAAACTAGACGAGATTACTGAAAGACTAACTTATATGGTTTAATAGCGATATTTGATCCTGATTCGGGCGAAGTTCCCACTTAAGCAGGAAACATATTATGTTCATAGATGTATACGCGACAGCTTCTGCAGTTTCGAGAAAGTCGGTGGCTTTTGCAGTAATGCAGCAAAGTTGTGTCAAGATACCTAGGAAGTGGAGAAAATGTAGCATATTTATTATCTTATGATATTTTTTATTTCGTATCACGATTTCATGTTTAGTTTTATCCCAAACTGAAAATCCAGAGGAGGATGTCACAATATCTTAGGAAACGTTTCACCCGGGTAACTAAAGGAGATGTGTAATAGGTTGTCTTGGGTATTTCAGCCATAATCGTTTCGAGGTCAAATGTATGTTCACTCACGTACAAAGACACACTTGACAGCTCTTCCGCGTTAGAAGACTCAATGACGGAAAACCAGGTTAAATTTATAAAATTATTTTACCCATGAGTACTAAATAATTATGTATTATTGAGACAGGAGGAGTTGATACCATATATAACAGTCATTTTATATTTTAAAGGTCAGTGAATACTGTAACTCACCCTTTACATACATATGTATGTAAAGGGTGTTTAAATATAGAAGTTGACGGTTGAACTTTGGCCCATTACGACAAACCGTTCAAAGGGTTATTCAAGGTGAAATTCGTATCCACATAAGTAGATGCCATGCCTATCTGTAAAAGTAAGAAGAGAAAAATTAGGGGCGCTCAAATATATATATACTTATTTTGCCCGGGTAAATATTGGGGGGGGGGCACTGAATGATCGACCGTCTGGCACGCAGGGTTGGCTTTCAAAAATGTAGCTTAAATCAGGAAACGAGATAATTTTGGAGTATGAAATGCCAAAACAATGAATTATGATATTGAGATAAATAGACATACATGTTCACCTTCATTCATGTAACTGATTATGAATTATGATATCATAATTATGATATCATTCTCTATCTAGAGAATGATAGTGATGAAAATGAATTTCCTGTGATTTGAATGAAAATGAGTGAAAGATTCTGTGAATGCTCACTCCTTTCATTTATCACCTTATGTATGCTTAATACATATATGCATATGGGGCGAAGTCCGAAATTAAGTCATGAAGTGAAATGAGTTTGAAAGAAAATGAATGAATGTGAATGAAAATCTTAAGTCAGAAATTGGGATGACTGAACTTTGAATGAAAAAAGTTTTTTTGAACAGGTACATATGCATGAATGGATTTATTATATGTTAAGCAAATTGAACAAAAAATCAAAGTGAATCATAAATTAATGCATTTTCAGAGTCATTAAATAATCAAATAAATATGGAATACGACAAAATTTCTGAATAGTGGGTGGACTCTCGGATGACCCCAGTTACTCCTTGGCATCTCCAATCCCGTCGGAATTGATGGAAAAAGTGCACTCCGCTTGTGGCAGGCAGGGCGACCCATAAATTTTACAGAGTCGATTTACTCCTTTTCCTTTTCGAAGGAACAATCTGCCAAAATACGAGAAAATGTTATGTATCATCGAGTTTGTCACTTTTCGCATCTTGCAAATGGAATGCTGAGACATAACTTTTGCCAGACTTTGCAAAATTTTGGGCGTAAAACGATAGGACTTTTCACAAATTCCCCAGTAATTACATATTTCGTAAACTCCCCCTGTCAACTATATGCTTTATAACTTGCGACGAAAAATTAATATAGGACCGTTTAAATTTGCGAAATTTGCGCAGTCATATTTTGTGGCTCTCAATTTTTTTAACTTGGCAAAAGTTTGCTAATGATGCTCATATGTAAGACGTTAAAGAATGGAACCTTTTTTCAAGTTACGCCGGGATAGTAGAATGACTTACATCAAAAAATCAAGCCAGAAATCAGGAGTCACGTGGCACTCATCCTTCCGTTGCATGGTTCCTTTGAAGCAAAATACCGGCGGCTATGAGCAATGTTTTAGTAAATTTTCTCCATTTCCCTCAAACTGACGCGCTCCTGGGTACTTTGACCCCCAATATTTTGCTTCGAAGGGGACACTCAACGAAAATTTGAGTGCCACGTGACTCTAAATTTTTTGGATTAATTTTTTACGCCCCCTGTGTTACTTGTAAAAAGTTCCAATGTGAGTGAAGAAAGTGGTGGACAAATAGAAATAATTATTAACCTTGTAGTGACCGCGTGTCCAACAATATGCCCACCGATTGGTTTCATCGGTTCACCTTGTAAACCTCCTCCCGCGTCACACTGATCGCCGATGACCTGATTCGTGATGACTACAGCAACACCAAACTAGAAAGTTATACATAAAAAATCGAATATCGAACAATTGTATGCATACTGCAAAATAGTTAGTTATAAGAAAAAAACTAACCACATCACACAGGAAGTTAAGTTTCCTTAAAAATTGGGCCAAATGTTGTTGTCGAGCGGAAACCTCGTCACGACCCGAGTAATCAGTTCTGTACAGGGACGTCGCACTGTCCACGATCAGCAAGCAGAATCTGTTACGAGAGAAGCTGTTCACTTTCATTCATTTGACTGATTTTGATAATGAATTAAAATGAATGTTCCTCCAAAAAATGAGTGAAAGATTCCGTGATTTCACATAAATGACTGTAAATGAATGGCAGGATTTCCCTTTCATTTTTCACTCTATGCTTTATATTACATGTAACAAATGAAGTCTGATGAAGTGAAATGAATTTGAAAGAAAATGACTGAATGTCATTAAAAATCTCGCTCATTTCATTTTTCACTCCATACCTAATTTTACAGGGTTGAAGTAACAAATGAAGTCTGATGAAGTGAAGTTGAATGAATTTGAAAGAAAATGACTAAAGGTCAATTAAATAAAATATTGACTCAGAATTCGGGATCAATGACTTTTGAATGAAATCTAAGTTTTTGAATGGGAACGGAGAGAATTAAGGTGTCACTTTCTAATAAAAAAAATGTGCGAATGTGGTTTTTGACTGATAAATATTTGAAAATAAATTTAAACTCACCGAGACTTGGAGAACAAGTCTTCCGCCATGGTCAAGAGTTTCATCTGATGATCCGTATTGTATGCTCGAGCGTACGCCACATTGGTCAAGACTTCCGAGCTGCGCAAACCATAGCGGTCAGAAATGGCGACCACTCGCTCGGGACGGAAGGATCCATCCGTATCAATGTACAAGCATTTTCCATCCCCACCGCCAACGTCCAATGGTAACTGAGCAATTAAGAGAATAATTAGTTAATTTAGTAATTAGCTAGCTAATTAATTGTCAACTTTAAAGAGTATGAGTTAATTGATTGATTAGTGAATTAATTAATTGCCAACTTTAACGAGTGCGGAATTATTCACAGTTAAAATCTGGTAAACTCTTTAGGGAAGTTACTACCGCTCGGTAATACCGAGTCGGTATTACAATTATTCTATTACCGGTTAGTAATAATTTGCTACCAATATGGTAATACCGAGCTACTTGCTACACTTTGCACAGATGAATACAGCTTGGTATTATTTTATTACTGCATTTCTAATGTTATGTATGTACATACCTGACACGTGACGGCGAGCATGTGACAAATCTGGCTTTTTCCGGTGCTAAATTCTCCAAAGAGTTCGGTGACGAATCCCGTCTCAACCCCGCCGTCGAGCAGCTTATCCAACTTTTTCGAGCCGGTCGTAAGCCTGATAAGCTCGCCGCGTTTGGACAGAACTTCGTCCGCAGTGCAGATTCCCATCGGGACAAGTTTTGCGGCCTCGCGCTAAAGAAACGGGGAGATTGAAATTTTAAGTTTTTTGTATTTTTTATCGTAAAAATTTAGATTTTACCAGAAATTTCTCCGCCTTAGCGAGAGTCACCCCTGGGACGGAGAGGAGCGTGTTTTTCGCACTGTACGCGACCGACTCGACCGTACGAAAACCGGCGGCTTTAAGATTTTTTATGTCCCTCGATGTTATCCCGTTGTTGTGCTGAAAAAATAAGGAAATATTTAATTTAGACAGGTTTTTTTTAAACAAGCAAATTGAAGAATTTGGTAAAGTTAATTTCACGGATAAATTTACGAAAAAGGGAAACCTTCTGGGAATGTTTTGATCTTTGACCACGTGGGACAGAGGACAATGTCCTCATAATCTGCCAATGTTATATTATATTAACCCCTGCCTATCCTACAATGCTAATGTCCCCACGGTTTTGATTTTTGACAAGAAATTTATGATTTCGTAAAATGTTTGTTTAATTAAAATTGTTATAAAATAATGAAGAAGGATGTGGAGTTGTACCCGTAAAATTGGGAGCAATTGGGGTCCTCCTTCATCGTCAAGGTCGTCATAGTCAGAATCTGGAGGGGGTGCAACGACCACTGGGGGAGGGGACGGCTGTCTTGGTTGCAGCTCCGATGAATTCCAGATCGTCGTCGCTACACTTTCAACGGGGCCCATGTCAGCTCGAGTTTAATTTAGAATCCTGTTAAAGAAAAGAAATATCAGGATTTAATTAAACTTTAAAATGTTAAGATTAAAAATATGTAAATAATGAATTATGCTGTGGAAACGATGAGAGGCTAAAATATAAATATGTAGAATTAGTTTAAAGTTTCGAATTAATTTTGAACTTTAAATTATGAATTAATTAAATACGAAGAATTATTTACCGTCCTGTTTTTTTAGCTGGTCAAACAAGACAAATTATTACTCGCGGCGTGAGGGACGGGGCATATTAAGACTTTTATGGGGACACTTTTCAGTACGTTTTTTGCACACTACAGCCTTTTTTTGCTATTTTCTGCATACCTTGTTGCCTTTTTCTTTTTCAATGCCATTTTGCCGTTTTGCTCGATTTTTCACGATTGAACCCAATTTCTTGTCGTTTAAAACGTATTGAGGAAATTGCAGAATATACATTATAAAGATTATATTTTGGAAAAGTATAGAACATTTAATGAATAACTTTCACTTCACTTCTTTATCTCAGGGTTTTCGTCTCATCTCGCCCTAATTAGAAAAATGGCAAAAACGCACTTCCTGTTTTTTTTTACACACTGCTTTTCATGGTCGATTCAGAAATATATAATCGAACACCGTTGTGAATTGTGCATTGATCACTACTTTATTGAAGCGAAGCGAAATCCCTTTATGGAAGTGTCTTGTTTGTCTGTCCATCTGTCCACCCGTACCGTATCCACGATAACTTTAGAACGGTTTCAATTTTCGATATGCGAGTTTCGCCAACGCGTTTGTAATTTCTGAAGTACGGTTGAGTTCGAAGATGGACGTTTTAGGTCATGAGATCACGGTGACGACGCCAACGGTTAAAGATGTCGAATTTTCTGTTTCCACCAATTTAGACGTAGTTTTGGGCGGGATTTCAAAAAGCTGCATGGATTTGAAGTGTCATAACCGTGTGACCGTGTCGCTTCACCCCTTTGCTACATTTCGTTTGCAACGGTTTATTATTTTTAGTTTTGAATCAATGAGTTACTCCGAGAGACAGAATTGTTCATGTATTTTAAGAATTCATTTTTGCTTAAGGAATAAACCGTTGCAAACGAAATGTAGCAAAGGGGTGAAAACACACGGAATTGTCTTTGTGGCACGCCCACAACGTGGTTCAGCACTTTCCTGTCATTGTCTCACATTACCCCACGTCTCATTTTGCCCCGTTTTGACACCCCCACCCGCGTACTTCAAACGTACACGACAATACCTTTGAATATACACCCCATATGATAAACCGTTGCAAACGAAATGTAGCAAAGGGGTGAAAACACACGGAAATGTCTTTGTGGCACGCCCACAACGTGGTTCAGCACTTTCCTGTCATTGTCTCACATTACCCCACGTCTCATTTTGCCCCGTTTTGACACCCCACCCGCGTACTTCGAACGTACACGACCATACCTTTCAATAGACACCCCACATAACAAAAGTCATTTTTCCGACATTCGACACCTCTCACACGGTCATGGAGTCGTAGCACGTCGAAATGATGACGATTTCTGAAATCCCCATCCAAAAATACGTCTAAAACGGTGGAAACAAAAAATTCGACGCGTTTGACCATTGGCGTCATCCCCGTGGCGCCGTGACCTTACGACCTACAACGCCCATCTTCGAACTCATCCCGTCCCCAAAAATTAGAAACACGTTGGCGAAAACCCGATGTCGAAATTCGAATCCTTTCTAAAGTTATCGTGGATACAGACGGACAGACGGACGGACAGACAAGACATTTCCATAAAGGGGTTTTCACCCCTTAATAATTCGAGCATGAATCAAATGTATTTTTTTAATGTTTAGAGCCCACAAGTAACGTTATGTAGTTACATATAATTGTCAAGATAACGTGAGATTAGATTAGACTTATTCTCGCCTACATAAATATGTATAGGTCTTAAGGCCCATAAAGGTACACGAAAAAACTTAACACGATCAGATTTTTTTAAAACACAAAGTGCATAAAGTACATATACATAAGGTTTTTAGTTTTTACGAAAAAGCAACCAGTTAAATGATGCGTTAAACCTGTGAAAATAGTTTAGGAAAGTCATTAAGGAAATTATCCAGAAATATATAAAGGTACATACAAAATTCTACCAACGATGAATATACTGTATGTAGATCATGAATCTATAAGACTTATAGAAATATAGATTCATACTGTAGATACTCTATTTATAGCCCGGTCTAAATAATCACGGGACAGATACACACGGCTACAATTACGTACAAACCCAGCATAATTAGAGACCCGGCTATTTTTTTCGGTTACACATACCTTGTGTGTAATTTATGTAGAACAGGAATTAAATTTACACGGTGATTAAATTTTATTTAATTTTTCAAACTTGGGCTCAAGATCAGGTATTTACGGTATCTACTTTTCCAAGGTATGAATACGACCACAGTGACGCCTCAAGTCAGAAAAATTGGCGAATTTCTTGCCACAAAAGTAACATTCCCGCTTCTTAGCATCGTGTCGTTTTCTGTGCACTGCTAAATTCCACGTGGAGTGACTCTTGTACTCGCACTGGTCGCAGGAATAAATCTTCTCCTTATTCACGGGATGCATCGAGACCACGTGGCGATGCAAATTGTGGGATATCGAGAACCTTTTGGAACAAAAGATGCAGCAAAAATTCCTCTGATTTTCATGAACAGCGCTGCTATGCCGTTGTAAGTTTAAACTGGTAAGGAAAGTCATGGTACAAATTTTGCACTTGAATCTTGCTTGTGTCGATTTTTCCAGATGTGTCATCTGAAAAAAAATACAGTTATCGGACGACAGGAATGGTTTTATTGTCTAATTTATCCCGAACTTGTTTATCATCTTCAGGGAAAATTTTAGATTTTTTTCGAGTAAAAAGAACACACTCTAAATAATTTAGAATTGAATATAGGATTTGTTAAGATAGAAGTATCGCCTTTTGTTTAACCGTCGACGTTATTTGTGCTTCGTACACAAATTATTTCCCACCGGTGACAAAACTTGTAAATCGTTACCAAAAAGAGCACAATATAGAGTACCTCGGATAATTTGTCTCCAAATTATTTAAAGTGTGCATACATCAGGGTTACAATTGATATATATCACTGAGTGAGATTTAGTGAGATTTAATGATATATATCATTTATCTCACTTGGGGCTGAGTGAGAAATATGAGAAATAATGAGATAAACTTGTAGTTCATGACCCCGTCCGCTAGGTGGCGCTAGTGCATGGGTCATAAATCTCACTAAATCTCATATTTCTCATGTCTCACTATTTCTCATTATATCTCAGTGAGATAAGATTTACGAGGGCGAGATGAGATTTCTGCAACCCTGGCATACATATTCATAATTTTTCCTAATCTTAAACCCATTTTTTGTTCACTTTTTGTCAATCCTAAATTAACTTATTTACCTCGTGTCGTTTCAAGTCCTGCATTCGTGCAAAACTCCTCCCACAAGTTGCACACTGGAAGGGCTTTTCGGTCGTGTGGGTGGAAATGTGAAGTTGGAGGTTAGTTCTGAATTTAAATTGTTTTCCACAAAGTATGCACGAAAATTTGCCAGGATTTTCGGAGTGGTCACGTTTTAAGTGTCGTGAAAGATCGCTTTTGACCAGGTACGTTTTTTCACAGGCAGGAAATGTGCATGGCAAACGAGACCGTTCCCCCGATTTGTGCATGGCGTCCTGATGTCTTCGTAACGTGGGAGGATCGAAAAACGTCCGATGGCAAACGTCGCATTTGGGACGTTCCCGATTGCTGTGAAGCATTCTTCGGTGGAGAGATAAGGTGGTCAGGTTTTTCAAAATTTTCCCACACATCTACATATTTAAATAAGCAATATGTAAATACGTTCGTAAGGTTGAACTTTTAAAGTTACGGACTCAAAATGGAACGGTTTTTCAATCTACACCGGGATCGAGTAGCGAGTTATGTCAAAAAATCAAGCCAGAAATTAGGAGCCACGTGACACTTATCTCTCTATTGAATGACCCATTTGAAGAAAAATATTGGGGGTCAAAGTTCGCACTCCTCCCTGGTTTCCACCCCGTGGAGGAAAAAGTAAGAGAAAATTTGCTCAAAAATTGAACTTAACCGCCAATATTTTTCTTCAAAGGGGTCATTCAACGGGGAGATAAGTGTCACGTGACTCCTAATTTTTGGCTTGATTTTGTGACATAACTCGCTAGTAGAAAATCCTGGTGTAGCTTGAAAACAGGTTCCATCGTCAGAGATATTTAAGTTAATGGCTTACTTTGCACTTAATCTTTGCATCGGGATCGTGCGTGACGACGTGGCGATTTAAGTACTTCTTGATCTTGAAGGTTTTTGAGCACGTGGGACATTCGTTCTTTGGGGTTAAGTCCATTTGGATTTTGTTGTAGGGAATCTGTTGAGGTAAAATTTGCAAATGGGGGAAAATTCTTGGGAGTTGGCTGAACCAAAATTCCACTCGTGTCTGAGGTTATTTTGTTACTAAATATGTATGTAGAAGTTTGAGAGGATGTAGTGAGTTTCCTTGACTTTTTTTATTAAAATAACCAGCCAGCTTAGGAATGCATGCGTTATGTAAATGTGTTGCCTACTTTGGGAGGATTTTGACCCTCACTCCGGGCGGTGAAGGAAGGGTTTGGTTCATGTTAAAATTTGTGTAGGAAGGGTTTGATGCATGCCTAATTTCCTTGCACAGGTAAGGTTTTTGTCAAGATCGGGACCTGATTTAGATATGTATTATTCACATAGAAGCATATATACATACACATATACCATATACCGTCATCCGACGTCTATATAAATACATATACGTATATCCATGTCTCATGATGTAAACACTATACTATACTATATACATATATGCATGCCACGTGGTCTGTATACTAAATATACTATATAAGGGCGTCGTCCTCTTCTATCACAGGTGGTGATTCACAACATCATCTGTGCATGCCCCATTTTCCCCGTTTCTAGCGACGTGTTCTGTGAACGGCCCCCATTTGGAGGAGGGATTATGTATATCCACCATACACCACTATCGTAGTAAGTTCGTTAGCTGGTTGACCGTTTGGATTTTTTTGTTCTAAACATTCAACAAATGTGTACATATTAAAGAACGATCTTTAAGCAAATTAAAAAAAAGGTGAAATCTGTACACACTTTTGCGTCCATCTGTTTGTCCAAGGCGATTAAAAATTTTGCAGCATTATTTTTCCCATTTAAGGTATAAATCCGTGCCAAATTTGATGCGGTTCTTGACAAATAAAAATCCCACCCACAGTTGATCAGATTTTCAAATCTGGCTAGTTCCGAAGTAATACTGCTTTCAACATTTTCCGAAATGTTTTCCATCTCCTCGGCTACTTTCCAGACTGGTTTGTTCAAATCGTCTTCATAAAGTTGAGTCAAAAATGTAACATTATACATAGATTATATTTAGTTGTTTTTTATTCATGTTTTATACATTCACAATATTTAGTTAATTCGTACGTACCATTGATTAGGCCATAAGCATTTTCTTGTGCCATGTCGAGCAAGTTTTTAAATAAAGTAGAGGCTTCTGAACTCTTACCATTGTCGAAATAGTGTAAGGCTAATTGCCATTTGTGTCTTGACAAAGTCTCCTTCGAGCAATTTTGGTCTGATTCGTTGATTTCAAGGATTCGCTTCAAATATGTTTCGATCTTATCGCTGTTTTTCTGTAAAAAATAAATATGCACATAATTAAAAAACAATTTAAATCACATCATGCAATTGAGAAGTACCATTTTTTCGTATAAAAGCACTAAGCTTTCTAACTGCTTGACAATTTTTGGTTGATTTATTGGCAATGTGTTTTCCTTAATTTGGAGAGAATCTTCACAAAGTGCGGCAGCAATGTCGTAACGTTCCTCCCCTGTATACTTGAGTATGAGTTGTTCTAGAAAATCTAGTTTCTCCTGGGCCACATTGACAACTTTGATTTCCGGTGGTTTTACAGTTGACGTTGTCGTACTTGTTACATTAGAGGTTTCATTTTTATCAGCAATATCCAATTTTTGAATCGATGTGGTAACAGATTTAACAATATCATCCTTTTTACCAAAGACTTCTGTCACCTTGGTAATAATTTCGTCAAAATCTTTCAAATTTTGGGTATTATCCTTTTCATCACAGCCATTTCTAAGGCTGCTTACAACCGAGTGATTCTCAACGATGGAAGATGTCTTGTTTATTTTGAAATTTTCGAATCTTGATTTTCTATCAAAATATGGAATTAGTTCCATGATTTCGTATAAAATTAGGCCAACCGCGTAAATGTCGTCATTTTGGGTGGAATTATTCGAGGTCGTGTTTTCCCCCGGGTGATAATATAGATGACGGTCGCATCTTCCAAAGTGAAAGGGTAAGACAGAATCTGGTTTCAAATTTGTTATTGTGTCAAAGCAGCCTAATTTAATGGGAAAGATAAATTCATCTTTGTCAGAGTACGTAAAAAATATATTTTCCGGGTAAAGGTGACCGTGAACGATGTTATTCTTGTGGAGGATCGTAATTCCGGAAATGATGTTTTGAATAATTTTTTCTTGTACGGCTAGAATTTCTGGGGTGAGGTTTGCAGAAGCATTTTTATTCAACCAGGTTCTCAAGGAGGGGCCAGATAACTCTGTGCGGACACATACGGTCTGAATTTGGTGGATATCTTTAAATTTCATGGTTCCGATGAAGTAATTTAATTTGGTTTTGGTGAAGGTATCCGTTACAAGGTCGAATATTCCTTGCAACTCGGAAATCTCCCAGGTGTGGAGGAAAGCTTCCTCAATTGTGGTCAGGTTTTGGTGTGTTGTTCCGAACATAATTGGGCATTGTAAAATTCTTGAGAAATCTCCATTTTGGTCGGGTAGAATAATTTTGAGGGCAAAATTCCCCAAATTATTGGATATCTTGAAGGTTGCACTTGTATCGTCGTGACTCAATAGCCCGATAAATTTCCAAGGTGTGGCTGGAGTCGCCATATGGAGAAGAATGATGTGGTGGAGGGTGTATGTATTCAAGTGGAGTGATTTGCTGCTGTAAATAATTTCCGACTCTGTAATGATGAAGGTCGGGAATGGATGATTGCCTGCATTTTTTATCATTTAGTTCGTTTATCTCAATTGGGATTCGTTATCAGGTGAAAAACACTGCAATTAATTGATTGTCTACCTTGACCATTGGTACTTTGCATCCCTAAATAATCGCAATAATGTTGTAGGTTATGACTGCTGCATGTTTACAGCGTGCTAATATTCCTTGTACCCCGATTGTAAATTTCTATGTATGACATGCATTAATTTAATTTCTGTCCATGAAGTTTTTTAAGATAAGGACATAATTTTTTTTCTATGGTTGTGTATGTACCTCAACTTCATACCGTGAACGTCAAGTTCGTAACCTACGTAACTGCGTTAGGTTTGTAAGTTTACACACTCTTGACGTGAGTTGAGTTTGTAAACATTTTCGTAAACATTTTTTAGTGAAAAAAATATCGTACATAAAACGTCATCAAAATGTTGCTAGCCAACTTTATCCTAGATTAGACCAAATAAAATGCAATAATTGCATTTTATTTGGTCTAATATTTATTTTTATTCAAAAATAATTATTATTTTTGAATTTTTTTGCCCAAAATATCAGTTTTTCAGGAATTACAAAGCCATTTCTTAAGTCATAAAATTCTATAATATACCAAAATGATCGTATGATCAAGACCGATCGATTGACACCCCACTGGATGAAGTGTGTCAATTTAGCCCGGATTTGACATTTGGGGGCTGGTCGGATAGCGACCAATATTTTCCGCTGGAGCAATCTTTTGTTTGAGTAATTAAATTAATTTGCATGATGATGAAAAATTTACAATAGACAATTCATCTCTAAGACAATTTCAACCGAAAATGCAAATATCAAACACTTGAATTATTTACGAACTTTTATTTACGAACCAAAAACATGCTTTTGAAGTGCGTAAGTTTCGTAAAAGTTCGTAAGTCAATTTTCCTTAGAAATGTGTGTAAAAGTTTGTAAAAGTTTGTAAGCTTACAAACCTTACGCAGTTACGAAGGTTACAAACTGTGACGTGAGTTCCCTCCGTATGTATAAGATACCAGATATATTTTTTATCTCGTATATATGTATCTTGTCGACCTTGTGTACTATTTAATGGAATTTAAGGTGGCACAATGGTTGGTATTAAAAAAATTTTGGATTTTGGTACCAAGTTGCTAAGCGGGTGTCGGACGCACAGACGGAAGGACAAGAGGAATTCAATAGCTCCCATGCTACGCAGGGTGAGCTAATATGTAACTATAAATTCTAACTTATTCAGTATTGTAAGCATAGAAATGTCGTTCCCAAAATCCAAAGCGCAAATTAAGACTGAACGGACTTGGAACCATCAAGATTCATAAGTGCAATTGTCGGAATGCCACACAAACGGTCAGAGAATTTGACAAAATTTATTAATCTTTTTTCGCGGTTTGACAAATTATTCTCAAATTTTATTCAAATTTATGTATGAATGGCCTTTGGAGTTATTTTCATTTCGTACACTTTTCCTTGACCATCCTCGCAATCCCATCTACCTAAAGTTCCACTATGACTATTGCATTGGTAAGTCATTCCTTCAAGAGTGAGACGGATACCACACATATTTTCACCTTTTACACAAATTGTGCTGCAAGAAGGTTCAACAGGAAATGTGCTCGGTTTACCGGTAGTCGTTGTCCCTGTTGTCCCTGTTGTGGTTTCGATTGGTTTGGTCGTTGTCGCCATGGTGGTGTTGGCCACATAACCTATTGGCGGCACTTCGCTAGCCAGCCTCTGTTCAAACATCTCCCCGTCGCAACATGTCCCAAAAATATAGTCATCCTCTTGCACATATCGTCTGTCCCACTCTTTGTTTTTTCTTATGTGACACCATTCCCGACCTTCTTCGCTGGTCCAACAAACCGATGAGGCAGCAAGTTGGGCACATATGACAGTTAAACCGTCATTATAAAATGTTTTGTTGCCACATGCGAACGCAAAGTCAGTCTTACTCAGTTTTTCATATTCAGACAACTCATTAGCCTCGATTTTGGCACGCTCATCTAGGTCACGCGGGACGACAACTTTTCGCATAAGGTCAAACCCGCCACAGCAAAACTTGAAACTTGGCAAATAACCCGTCCCTTTTCCTCTCCTAAGATCACAGCTCTGTCTGCTCTTATAAGTGTAGCATAGCAAGGGGACATTAATTTGACCAAATTTCTGTGTACTCCTGATAGAGTCGGCACACTCGTTTGTGGCGGAATCGTTATGTTTATTATTATTTGGATCCAGGCACATCCATAAAATTGTTTCTGTGTCCTTCACTTCCACCCCGTGAGCCTTTTTTACTTTCTCTGCTTTTAGTTCTTCAATTTGTGTGTCGAGGAGTATTTCTTTTTGTCTTCGTTGAGTGTAAGTATCTTGGTCTTGCCAAGTGCCATTCCCGCCACAACAAGTTTTGAACTTGGCCTTTTGCATGTGATACTTAGCCATCGGCTGGTCTTTTAACACGCACCAGGTAACGTGGTGACTGTTCTCACATCCTGTGGCCTTAACCTCTTTACCACAAGATTTGGTTTCTTCAACACCAGCAGTACATCTCCAGGCGGCATATTTGCCTGGCTCATCTAAGAACAAAAAAATTAGGATGTATACTATGTTTAGAAGATTTAGATGTATCGTAACACCTGCAGTATTGTTTAGTCAAGCCCAATTTACATCTATTGTAAATTTCTGACTTACATGAAATGCTAGGTACAAATCTACTCCAAAAAGTAATACAAACTATGATCGAAATAATTCGAAAACTTTTCATCATTATATGTAGGTAATCGCAGCAAGGGAAAATACTTAAAAAAACCTTAATTTCAAAATTCTGGTGATGTTGGAATTACAAAAAAAATATTAGCTTGGAAAACTTTGTATGCACCTAACAGCATACATATTTATGCATGTATGTAAACCAAAAATAATTAAAGTATTTATGTAGGCAGGAAGCCAATAAATTAATTGGGCATTGTGTCTAATTTTTAATGTGTTTAACTTTAGTATGAACAATTAAACTAAAATCATTCCTGGGGAACAGTCTCAGATCTAGCTAAATAACGTCACATCCTGCAATAATTATGTAAATACTTTGAAGTCTTTTACATACATCTTCCTGTTTTGCATTCCTATGTATGTATTTAATTATTCATTGTGCTGCCTACGTAGCCTGAAAGTCTCTATCGTTTAGAATTCTCCGAGCTTTTAAGATAATTTTCAGTTGTGCCAAATTCGATATACGATTGTCACCCGGGTTAACTACAATTTTCAATAACTCATGCATTCATTAAATAATTACAAGTACTATCATAACCAATTAATTTTTAGTACTGAATTCAACCACCTCCGATAAACTTGGACAATATTTTCTCACAATTTACTCACAAGTTGTCCTCCACATTCTCAGGGCGGAAGAATGAAGCTTATTCTGATTTTAATCCAAATCTTGGTTCCCCATACTTGCGGAACGATCACTTACGACAGGTCAAGAATCACACGGTCTGGATGCGTTTCGGGATCCGGTGTGTACATAAAATATATTTAGATAAAGACACATCTTTACCAACTTTTCTAAATAATGTAAAATAAAAATATGCAGGAACATGGACAACCATGATAACGTGGGTGGAACAGCGCCAGGTAAATTTAAAATCTCCATTCATGTCTACTAAAAAAATGTACAGAAAAAAATATTGGCAAACCTGCTACATGCATACGCATATTAGCTAAAAAATTTGGTTATCATTCAAAAATCATCTCTTCTGACTGCCGATTTTCATTTAAGGAGTATGTAGAAGGTCACTACTTGTCGGGCCCCGATTTCGATCTCCTTTGGATATGTTGCAGCACTACATGAGTGTAGAAAAAGTGAAGGAGGGTTAGACTCCATGAGCCCATTTACGCCCGCCACACCCCCTCAAAGGCGCCCAAACCCCCATGGTTGCCGCACTAAAATCATCGCCAAAAATCGAGTTTTGCTCAGATTTGGATGAAATTTACATTTTTGTGATCCCAGATAGTTGCTCTATTATATCCAATAGCAAACTCAATTTTTTGAAATTTCGAATTTTTTCAATACATACCCTTGGTCAGAAAATCTTCGAAAATATTGAAAATTTCAAAAAATTGAGTTTGCTATTGGATATGATAGAGCAACTATCTGGGATCACAAAAATGTAAACTTTTTGAAAATCTGACCAAAACTCGATTTTTGGCGATGAATTTAGTGCGGCAACTCTGGGGGTTTGGGCGCCTTTGAGGGGGTGTGGCGGGCGTAAATGGGCTCATGGAGTCTAACCCTCCTTCACTTTTTCTACACTCATGTAGTGCTACAACATATCCAAAGGAGATCGAAATCGGGGCCCGACAAGTAGTGACCTTCTACTCCTAAGTTCAGTAATTTTCGTTCAAATTCATTTCATTTCATTTCACTTTATCTAACTTCATTTCATCACCCAATGTATTAAGCAAAGGGTGAAAAGTGAAAGTACTGGAAAATCCTATCATTCATGTTAAATGAATAAATCCTTCAATGATTTTCAGCCAAATGACAGGGAATTCAGTTCCATTCAGTACCATTCACTCATAGTCATAATCAGTCAACTGATTGAAAGTGAACAGGTATGTGCACACATACATGGCTAAACTCTGTTTCGCATTACTCAATTTTGTCACATGGAGTACATGAGCCGAACGAGCCAAATTATTTGATTTACCGCCTTGAATACATTAGCCGAATTAAATATTTTATTATTGGACACCAGTTATTTTTATTTTGGCGTTTAAATTATTCAATTTCGTATGATTTTCACGTCAAAATAAAGATAACTGGTGTCCAATAATAAAATATTTAATTCGGCTAATGTATTCAAGGCGGTAAATCAAATAGCATGAATAGCGTGAGTTTATGAATTTCTGGTCACTTATTCTATTTAGACCCTCCAAATTTATTAGAAG